AAGACAAAGGGCATGTTTGCCTATCATCTTCAATTACTTAAAACCCCAGTTTTTTACATGCTTTTCATTGTGAGGAGGAAAGTTTAGCAAAGTCCTTGGTCTGCAAGCATTTCCCATATCCTCCGCAGTGTTCACCATCTTTTTACTGTTCAGAATATCTTGTCTTCAAATACCGTTTGTGTAATTCCATGTTTTTAATAACAAGGAGGCAACTTATTTAGCAGGTCCTGAATCCAAAATTGAGACATAAAAATCTGAACAAATAGCAAAGTTTAATTAAGTCTTTCACGTTGATGATAAATGTGGACTAAAAATTTATTCTAGTAACTATAGTCTATATAACATATTCTTCTCCATCAGGGGCCTCTTTGGTGTAGGTCACACTGAGATAAAAATCTCATTTGGACATAAATTTAGTACCTTAGCCAGTTTCATAAAATTATAGATTTGAATATCTTCTTCTAAAATTCCCGCTTTTAATGAAATGAGTTTGGTCAAAAGGCAATTTGTATGACTTTTCAAGGTGGTTTTCTTTTTTTTCCCTCTCTCTGCTGGAGTTTCATTTTTATTTCTTGAAGCAATCAGCTTATTGAGAAAATATTACAGTCCATGTAAAATAATAAAACTGAGGCTTGCAATGTTAATTGGTAGACTCCTCCCTGCTCCTTGAAAATATAATCTTTGATTTTCCAGACCTTGGAGAGAAACTCTTATTGTTTGTCTGACCCATTAAATCAGCTCCTAGGACTCACTGATTTTCTTCTTTACTCTCAATCTCTAGCTTGGTAAAGTTGTTGTTGTTGTTGTTATGTGCCGTGGAGTCGGTTCCAATTCATAGCGACCCTGTACAGGGTTTCCGAGGCTGTAAATCTTTACAGGAACCGAAAGCCTCATCTTTCTCTCATGGAACAGCTGTTAGTTTCAAACTGCTGACCCTGAAGTTAGAAGCCCGATTCGTAACCACAACGCTACCAGAGCTCCTTGTAGAGGGGTGGTGGTGGTGGCTGTGTTCCGTGCTGTCGGTTCCGACTCATAGTGACCCTGTAAAGGGTTTCTGAGGCTGTAGATCTTTGCAGGAGCAGAAAGCCTCATCTTTCTCCCGTGGAACAGCTGGTAGTTGCGAACTGCTGACTTTGCGGTTTGCAGCCCGATTCGTAACCACTAGTAGGGATTATTAATTATCCCGTTTTTATGAGATGTCATGCTAGCTTTAGTTGAAACTAATCTACTGGTTCAAATTCTGTAAAATTGAAGCTATTAATTTCTTTGTTTACATTTGAGCCCAATTTTATAATTTGAATAAATATGCCATTTATAGTACATATCAAACTGAAATATATTTGCATGCAAAAAAAAAAAAAAGGCAAAAACAAAGGGCCAACCTCTTAATAAACAATGAAAAGTAAATTAAAATAACAAGGTATTATTTTTCCTCTGTTAAATTGATGGTGTTTTTATAAATGTAAGGAAAATTGGTCATTTCATATACTACTGATAGAAGTGAAACTATAAAAGCCTTTCAAGAAAACATTTTTATGTTGTATCATAATCTTTCAAAATGATATTAATATTTTATCAGTGATTCTACTTCTAGAAATTTGTCCTAAAGAAATCATCATGTATATACACAAAGATTTATTTACAGAATTCCTCAATACTGTTTTGCTCATAATAGGGAAAATTTGAGAAAAACCTATATGTTTTAACTGTTGTTAAGTGCCATCAAGCTGATTCTGATTCATAACAACCCTGTATAGGCTTGTCCAAGGAGCAGCTGATGGATACCAGGAATTAGTAAAATAAATATCCTTAAGATAAAATAGTGCCTGACCCAAGCCATGGTATTTTCAGTAACCTCATATGTATGTGAAAGCTGGACAGTGAATAAGAAAGACCATAGAAGAGTTGATGCTTTTGAGTTATGGTGTTGGAGGAGAATATTAAAAGTGCCATGGGCTGCCAAAAATACCAACAGATCTATGTTGGAAAAAGTGTAGCCAGAGTGTTCCTTGGAGGCCAGGATGGCCAAACTTCATCTCTTATATTTCGGACATATTGTCAGGAGGGACCAGTCACTGGAGAAGAATATCATGTTTGGTAAGGTGGAGGGTCAGAGAAAAAGAGGAAGACCCCCAGTGAGATGGATTGGCAAAGTGGCAGCATCAACGAGTTCAAGCGTGGCAACAATTGTGAGGTTGACCCAGGACTGGGCAGTGTTTCATTCTGTTGTGCATAGGGTTGCTGTGAGTGGGTATTGACTCAATGGCACCTAACAACAACAACAAAATGAAATAGGAGCCCTGGTGTGGCACTGTAGGATAATCACTGGACTGTTAACCATATGTTCAGTAGTTGAAGCCCATCAGTCACTCCTTGACAACCTTATACAGGATCTCTCTGGGTCAAAACTGATTTAACAGCACTTAACAACACAACAAAGATGCAATAGTATATATCATTAAAAAAGATTCCTGGAATATTGTTAAGAAAAAAAATGCAGTTACTCAATTGTAGGTTATTTTATGCTTTTATTTTTATAAATCAAAGAAAGTATGTGTATCTTTAAATATAAAGATTATCTATACAATAACCAAAATTTCAAGAATAGTTATCATTGAGTGATGTAAGATAAGCACTGGACTGCTAACCACAAGGCTGGCAGTTCAAATCCACTAGCCACTCCTCAAAAGCCCTATACAAAGTTGCTATGAATTGGGAACCAATTCAGTGGCACCCAACAACAACAGTGGAATTATGAGTGAAATTTATGTAGTACCTATACTTTCGTTATACAAAGGTAAAGATCTAGGTACTTTCTAAATGTATGTAATAAAAGATAATTAATTTTATAACCATCTCTTAAACCCTCCTGTCTACTTGACACAATATTCTACCCATTTTTCCCCCCAGAAATATAAGCCATATAACAATGGGGCTTCCAATCAAAAATGGCATTACATGGAAAACATGAAAGCTTTCATGGCTTTTCATAGTACCGTGCTGGATAAGGAAATCACAGCAGCTAATTATGCTGGTATTTGCACATCCTCTGTGATTAAAGAAGAAAACATTGACCAACCGGTAAGTGGTTCCTTCCTCCCAAAGATAAAAGAAAAATGGAATAAAATAAGATAATCCGATACAGCAAACTCCCCACCCCCTTTTTTTCTTCTAGAAAATCTCATGTTAAGATAAGTTGAACACTGATTTTTAAGTGAAGTCACTTAGACATAGAATCTAGTTAGGGAAGAATGAAGGAAAATTGATGTGCTATGGAAATGTAGTGGCTCTGTAGGATAAGTGTTGTTGTCAGGTGACATCGAGTCGGAACCGACTCATAGCGACCCCATGCACACCAGAATGAAACAATGTCTGATCCTGGGCCAACCTCACTACCACTGCCACACTTGACGCCATCAATGATGCCACTTGGCCGATCCATCTCGTTGGGGGTCTTCCTCTTTTTCTATGACCCTCCATCTTACCCAGCATGATATCCTTCTCTAGCGATTGTTCCCTCCTGACAGTATGTCCAAAGTAGGATAAGTACTGCACTGCAAACCACGAGGCCAGCAGTTCAGGCTTACCAGCCACCTGGCAGGAGAAAGATGAGGCTTTTCTGCTTCTGCAAAGATTTCCAGCCTCAAAAACCCTATAAAGGATTTCTATGAGTCGGAACTGACTCAACCACACTTAACAACAACAACTCTGCTTGTCTTCTTTCAGTAGCTTCCATCAGTAGCTGGCACAATTTCAACAATTCACATGAGGAAGTGTCTTCACACATGCTATACTGCTTCATGTGTGCTGTCACACTAGATAGTACTCCACTCTAGAAATTTTATTAAAATGCAAATGATAGTAAATGATTTTAACTATATTACATTATACCAAGCATATGGCTAAGCTTGAATACACTCGTGATTTCTAAAGGAAGCACTTTCTCAGGTTTGGTTCTTTCATTCTTATTAGTTAATAATTGCTTGTATCCAACTTCACAGGTATTTTAGATATGACTCTGGGTCAGTGGGCCAAGCCACCTTGCCATTGTTGATGGTGACTGGTCTACAGAAAATTGAAATTTCCTAACCTATCCTACAGGACTCTCCTTGCTCTGCCCTTCAGATGTCTCTCAATTGCTGACTTTTCTCTTCCAGTCATAATTCTCTAGCTCTATTGAATAATTTGCCGTTGTTCACATATGCTGTACTGTTTTGCACTTCTCTTCCTCTGGCTGTGTTACCTTCCTTCTATCCTTTTCTGCTGTGAACTCATATCAGTTAGTAAAGAAGCTGTCAAAGATTATTAAGGACATCTCAAAAGGATGCAGGAGCCAACTTCAAAAGACTCCCACTGTTCAAAGACAGAACAAGGTAAACATCAAGACAAATGAATGCAGTGGATTGAATATATAAAACATGTTTAAATGCATGCTATCTAATGATATTAAACAACAACTTAACAGTCACACCTGGAAGTGATCAAGGAACAAATGAAAGGTAGTTATTGTTAGGTGATGATGACGTTGGGTTGGTTCTGACTTCTAATGATGTCGTATACAATAGAGTTGCCTGGTCCTGTGTCATCCTCACAACTATTGCTGTGTTTGAGCCAATTGTTGCACCCACTGTATCATTTCAGCTCGTTGAGGGTTTTTTTTTTTCACTGATCCTCTCCTTTATGAAGAAAGATGTCCTCTAGGGACAGGACCCTCTGGATTAACATGTCCTAGGTACATGAGTTGAAGTCTCCCAAACCCGTCTTCTAAAAAGCAGCATGGTTGTACTTTGTCCAAGATAGATATGTTCACTGTTCTGGCAGGCTGTAATATGTTCAGTATTCTTCACCAACACTGTAATTTCAAATGCATATATTTCATCTTTCTTATTCATTGTCAAACTTAGTCCTCAAACTGACATCTTTTTTCTTTAACACCTTGACAAGCATGATGTCTCTCCAAGGACTTGTTCCTCATTGTAACATCTCCAAAGTACTAGAGATGAAGTCTTGCCATCCTGGCTTCTAAGGAGTATTCTAGCTGCACTTCTTCCAAGAAAGATTTGTTTGTTCTTTTAGCAGTTCATGGTACTTTCAATATTCTTCTCCAACACCATTATTCAAATGCATAGATTTTACTCCAGTTTTCCTTATTCATTGTCCAATTTTTTTATGCATATGAGGTGGTTGAAAATATCATGACTTGGGTCAGGCTCACCTTAGTCCTCAAAGTGGCATCTTTGCATTTTATCAGTTTAAAGAGGTCTTTTGCAGCAGATTTGCCCAATGCAGTATGTTGTTTAATTTATTGATTTGGACTCTGATTGTGCATCCAAGTAAAATGAAGTCCTTGACAACTTCAATATTATCTCTATTTATCATAATGTTGCTTTTTGGTCCAATTGTAAGCAAACTAACCAACTAGTTACTTTGAAAGCTGGGTAATAAATAATCAGGCATTTATTCTTTCTTTTCTATATTAATAGCGCCTCAGGATTTAAAGAAAAAAAAAGGTTGAGGGAAGTTTTATGTTATAGAAATATCTCAGCTACTAAAATAATATGGTGTAAAATAATCATAATATCACTATTTTGCAACTTTTAATAAATAGGTGGATACAGGTAATGAATGGAGTCCTGGTATGACTCAGCAGGATAGCAAGGTCAGCAGTTCAAATCCACTGGCTGCTCCTTGGAACCTCTACAGGGTGACTATGAATTAGAACCAACTTGATGACACTTAACAACAACCAGACAATGAGTGGAATCTCTGGATAGCTCAAACAGTTATGTTCTTGAATACTAGTCAAATGGTTGGATGTTTAAACCTACCAGAGGTGCCTCAGAAGACAAGTCTGGAAATCTGCTTCTAAAGGACCACAGACTTGAAAACCCTATGGAGCAGTGCTACTCTGGACACACGGGGCCACCATCAAGTAGAATAGCCTCAATGGCAGCTCGCAACATCAGGCAACGAGCATCTGTGATTACTAGCATTCCAGAAAGAAGCAGAGAAGGCATTATGTGATGGGACCACACAATACCATTTGTAAAAGGTTCTTGATAAAAAGAAGGTCTAAGCAGAATTTAATCTAGTCTTTCATTCTACCTACTAATTCATTGGAAATATAGGAGACAGAAAAACATGTAAAAAGGCACAGTCAGTGAAATCCTAACATAAGAAAAGAATATGAAGACACTTAGTTTCACTGGAGATGAAAAGAAACAACACATATAAACAAATTATAATTTATGGACCTTACTTCAATTGTTTCAAATATTGTGGGAAGAGAGAGGATTAGGAAAATTTGAACATTAATTAAATATATTAAAGTGTTATAATTACTAATGTTCAGGTATGACACTGGAGTCCTTATACTTTAGAGATACATTTTGAAATATTTAACAATGAAAAGCTATGGTAAATCTAGGGTGAAGAGAGAAGAGGGTTGCTAAGTGCCGTGGAGTCAGTTCCAACTTATAGTGACCCTATATAGGATTTCCAAGGAGCAGCTGGTGGGTTTGAACTGCTGACCTGTGGTTTTCAGTCTAGTGCAGATCCTATAGGACCATACCAGGAGTCCTTGTATGTATCCTTTAGAGATGCATACTGAAACATTTAACAATGAAAACATATGGTGAATCCAGGGTGAAGAGGGAAGTGGGCAGGGATGCAGATAAAACAAGATTGGTAATTGTTGATAATTGTTGGAGGTGAGTAAAGTCTAGATACATGGGGTTTCATCATTGTTTTGTGTATGATTAACACTGTCCAGTGATTATTCAATTTGTGCTCTTATTGAAATAGACTGGGAATGGGGATTGGTGGGAAAAGCAAGGAGTGAGAAATTACAGTGCTAGACTGTAAAATCTAAGCTGAGTTCTGAGGGTAGTGACATTAACTGTGTGATGGGCAGTGTAACAGTGGGCGCTGGCTGGCAGGTTTCAGTGGACACCATGCTGTTTTGCTCAAGAAAAGCCTTACATTTAAAGCACCAGAAATGTTCTATATGATACTTTTGTTAGGAATCTTTTTGAAAATACTCTTCCTTTAATAGTATGTCCCGAACATCATTTGACCAATTTGGGACCCTCACATGCTTGTCATACTACCACACAGGATAGTCGGCACTTTGGCTTTAATCTGAACACATCCTAAAATCATACATGCAACTTGCTTACTTAAAAATCATTTTATGAAAAACATCCTTGAAGGATACTTGCTTCCTACCATTTTTCTGCAATGCATTTTCTTAAACCTCTGCTTGCATCTCAATTACTAATACTATATTGACCAAAGTGAGTCACATAGCTTAGCCCAGATTCATGAAAAGGGGAAAGAAACTCCATTTCTATATGGAAAATGTAGCAAAGTCACATTTCAGAAGGATATGCTAACAGGAATGGGAGGGTTTTATTATGGTCATCTTTGCATGTGATGTACCACACTTTCTCATGAACAATTTTCAGAGAAATCGGTGACAATACATTTCCAGTGGTCCCCACTGAGTCGTGATTTTGTTTTTGTTTAACATTTTTTTTTCTTTTAAACTTCATTATGAACTCATGCTATTTTACATAGTCAATATGTTTTGAAGGAGCCCTGGTGGCACAGTGAGTTAAGCATTGGCAGTTTGACCCCAGCAGTTGCTCTTAGGGGAAAAAATGAGGCTGTTTCCATGAAGATTTACAGCTTCAGAAACCCTAGAGAGCAGTTCTCCTCTGGCCTGTACGGTTGCTGTGAGTCAGAATAGAGTTGGTGGCTGTGATTTGGTTTGAGTTTAGTGTGTTTTGATTATTATTCTTTTTGATAGTGGTTACGAATCGGACTGCTAACCTCTAGGTCGGCAGTTTGAAACTACCAGCTGCTCTGAGGGAGAAAGATGAGGCTTTCTGCTCCTGTAAAGATTTGCAGCCTCGGAAACCCTGGCAGGGTCACTATAAGTCGAAACTGACTCTAAGGTACTTAACAACAACAACAAAATGCCCTACTTTATGTTGGTTCTTATGTCCTTTTGACATGCTTCCTCTACTCTTAGACTTTTCTTTCTTTCTGGGCACAACAAAATGTGCCAGGTTTACACTGTGTATTTCCTGCCTCCAAAATAGACTTGGCCATTCTTCCAAGAGCATCTGATTCTAGACCTAGTTGTTGTTGTTATGTGCTGTGGAGTTGGTTCCGACTCATAGCGACCCTGTACAGGGTTTCCAAGGCTGTAAATCTTTACAGGAGCAGAAAGCCTCATCTTTCTCCTGCAGAACAGCTGGTAGTATCGAACTGCTGACCTTGCAGTTCACAGCCCGATTCGTAACCACTATGCTACGAGCTCCTTCCAGACCTAGTAATTTTCATTGATATTGGAATATCATTGCCTTGAGGCTTTTTCAGTTGACACATCTTGCAAATATGTTTTTTTTTAATTTTGGGGGGTGGGGTGGGAAGGAGGGTATATATTATAATTAAGGAACTAAAAAATGCATTCATATTGAAATTTCAAATTTTGTATTTATAGATTATAAAATGTTCTTTTAATACTGTACAATTTTCTATAAACATGCTATTATTATTTAAATGTACAGAGATGAAGGCATCCTTGTCTCCCATTTTAGGGATATTATTTTCTCTCACCTGGTGGAAAGAGAAAAACAATGCTGTGCTTGGCTTGTGGACGATCCAGGAGAGCAGAGAAAGGACTGAAACAGTTGCTACCAGGGGTCCCATTCCTCTGTGCCTCTGGCTCCAAGACCCAGAAGCCTTTCTCCCTAGGGCCCTTCAAGGTCATCACTGTAGCCAAGGTGTGTAATCATCTGTTAATCCATCTGTGGTAACAGTTTGGAAACTTTGATGCATTCATTATCTGCCTTGCACTCAAGTTCATCTCCACTAATCCAATTCATCTTCCTCGGATGTACCTTTACCATTTTACTTGCATTGATTTCCTTTTCCCCATTGTCATTTAAAATACATTTTCTATTAATAGTTCAATACACCCTTTGAAGTTAATTGGGCACTTCAGCTGCTTTAATCATTCCCTGACACCTTTCCTTGCTCTCTGTGTTGCTTTTAGGTGAAGAAGTAAGTGCACATTCTTTACTTAGTGGAGGAATTTTTTTTTTTTTTTTTTTACCAGCTTGAAACATTTCAGGGAGAATTTGGCATGTTGTTGCTAATGACTGTTCAGGTTGCCTGAACATACATCCATGTCTAATGCTATTTATAGCTCATGGCGAATAAATGTTTGCACTCCCCTGTGATCTTAATTTAAGCTGGCACCATTTAAAATTCCTTCTCTTCAAGTTTAGAAGTAAGAAGAGCTAAAGGAAACTTACACGCCTGTATAAAAAGGAGCAATTTCTAAGTGGTGAGGAACTTTCTGAATATAAATCTACAAGTGGTATGCTCCTGGGGGCTCACCTACCTCATTCCCAGACCACTCCTCTCTCCTCCAGCCCCAGCACACCTGGGGGAGGGGTAGCAGGTTATAACAAACATCAGCTGGCACTGTAACTCTGAAGGAGAAAGGAAGTCAGTCCATTGGGGAAGCTTGAAGCCATTTGGCTTTGTTTTAGGGCCAGAGGATGGTGTGTAGGAGGTGGCATTGGCTATTAGCAAAGGAGCTTAAATGAATCAGCATCTCAAATAGAACATTTTCCCTCAGAGCAGCGTTATGGTAGGGATGGACCAGAAGGGAAAGACGAAGCTGGGTATTTCTCACTCATTACCTTGTGGCACTGTAGGATAAGCACTGGACTTCTAACCCCAAAGTCGGTGGTTGAAACCCACCAACCCTTGGAAACTCTATACAGGGTTGCTTTGAGTCAAAACTGACTTGACAGCACTTAACAAAAACCACCGTGTGGTTTAGGCTACCCTCATCCCCCTACCTATTCCTCAATATCTGCCACCACAGAGGGGTGTCATCCTAATGATAAGAGATCATCTACAATGTTGGTGTCCCAATACTTCAACCCCAGGTTCTTTCTAACCCTGCCAACCTTCTACCATGTCTCCTGTCACAGATCAAATCAAGAAAAGCAAAAGAAGGCCAGAAACATAAGCCGAAGGCCTCAAGTTACCTAGTAGCTCAGGGCAGGGTTTGGAAGAGAGCTGAGCATTCGGAACAAATGTCGTTCCATCTACATCCAATATCTAAAGCATATGATGTGAACATATAAACATCCAGATGTTTCACATATGTACATACACATTTATTAAATGAAGAGACTGAAGTATGCCAGAATTTTTTTAAGTTAAAAAAAAAAAAGGTCATACAATGTGTCTTTCTTTTTTTTAATCAGGCGGATTTATCTTCTTATGAAGCTGAGAAAACTCTAGGTTATTATGAAGGACTCCAGTTATCTTTACGGATGAAGACTTACACACAAGCTGTATCTCATAGTGGTACGGCAAGTCCACACCAGAAGGCAGTAAAAATAATTGCTTACAAAAATGGGAATGGATATCATAATGGGAAGTTAATTGTGGTGGAAACATTCCCCATGGTAAGGGGCTCTCACTTAAATGTTACTTGTATCCTCAGAGGTAATGATAATGGCTAATCTTCTCCATAGACGACAGAAGTGGGATTGAATGATAAATATTCCTGGTTAGGTTTCTTAAAAACAAACAAACAAACAAACAAAAAACCGTCTTTTTGATTATGTTTGCTAGAGTCCCGGTGTGGTGCTGTGGGTCAAAGTACTGGACCGCAACATCAGTTTAAACCACAAGGTCGGTGGTTCAAACTCACCAGCCACTCCTTGGAAACCCTATACCAGCTCACTGTGAATCAGAACCGAGTCAACGGCACTTAAAAATTAGCAACCAAATCGTAGTTTTTAGCTTGATGTCTAGAACATAGACATATAAAAGAAGAGACAAAGAAAAGATACCAGATTTTCTTAGTTCTCATGATAATCACGTGCTGTTTCTGCTGCCTTCCTTCCCATGCCAGCTTCAAGCTATATGTCTTGTGCATATTCTAAGAGATCCTACCTCATTTAGCATCTGGAGAATCAGCATGCCTATCTGTTGATAGGATGTTTTGCTTCATTTTCAAATTGGAAAAGCAGGTTGTGCTGGAAGGAACTGGGTTTGGTCTCTGTGTGGAGACTGTTCCCCATAGACATTAAGAGGGGAGGAGAACAAAGAAGACCTTCATTTTTCCTCTGTTGTTTGTGATTATCTTGTCTGTGTAATCTGTCTATATGTGTGTGTGTGTATTTAACTTTTTATTGTGAATTGAGTGAAGGTTTATAGACAAGATCTTCAGTTTTACTTTCAACAAATCACACGTTGTTTCATCTCAATGCTTCCCATGAAACAGCAGTTGTCCTGCTCCCTTCCTGTGGTTCCTATTTCCATTCCCCTCACCCTTCCATTCCTTCTCAATTTTGTCCTTAGGGAAATGTTGCCCTTTTGATTTTTAATGACTGACCATTCCTAAGTGAGCATGCCTTACCACTGTTGTTGTCCCCTATATACCAATTTATTTGGCACGAGGGTGAATTCCTTTCCAGACCTGAAGTGTGGTTGAGGCCCATAGTCTCAAATTCCCTCAGTCTCTTTCTGACAAGTAAGCCCAATATTTTTCAATAATTTTGAGTTTTCTTTCACATTTTCTGCTGCTCTGTCCTGGACATTCTAATGTGATCCCTTCCAGAGCAGCTGGTAGTGGTAGCCAGCACCATCTAGTTCTGGTCTCAGAGTCTGATGTTCATATGTTCCCTTAGTCTGTTTGACTAACTAACACCAAGCCTCTTCAATTCTCATCTCTCTTCTTTCTTCCGCACGTGGAGAAACCATTACCTGCTCAGTACATGGCTGCTCATGGGCTTTGTTTTTAATTGGGCAATGTTTTTAACAACATATTTTAGAAGCAATATGAAATATGATTCTGATTTTGGAGACTTTCTTGCAAACACACATAACACACGTACCCATTTTTTTTAGCTGCCTAGTGCTGGATGTAGTAGAAATATTACTTTAGCAAACAGAAGTGTATTTTCACACAGTTAGGAGGCTAGAAGTCTGAATTCAGGGTGCCGGTTCTAGGGGAAGGCTTTTTCTCTCTCTGCCCTGGGGAATGGTCTTTGTCACTTTTCAGTGTCTATTCCTAGGTCCCTAGGCAACCGGAAACCTTGTTACTTGCTTGCTTGTTTAATCTGCTCTTTTATATCTCAGAAGAAATGAATTTAAAACACACCCATACTACTATTCCCTCATGCATATAACAAAGAAAACCCACTCGCCAATGGGATAATAATCACAGATTGTTGTTGTTGTTATTAAGTGTCCTGGAGTCAGGTCCAATCCATATCCACCCTGTATAGGATTTCCTAGACTTTAAATGTTTAAGAGAACAGAAAGCCTCATCTTTCTCAAACCTCTGGATAAAACAACAAAACCCACTACCACTGAGTCTATTCTTCTGACTCAGAGTGACCCTATAGGACAGATTAGAATTGCTCTTTATAGTTTCCGGGCTATTAGTGGGCTTGAACAAGCAAGCTTGAGGTTAACAGCCCAACATTTAACTCACAGCGCCTCTAGGGCTGTTCACACAAGTATATTACTGTTGTTAGGTGCCATGGAGTCGTTTCCAACCCACAGAGGATATTCTATAGTCGTTAAAATTTACAACACATATTTTTGAAGGATACAATTCAATCCATAAAACCCATTCACTCACTTCTTTGTTGAATACAAACAGATGTTTTATTAAGTCATTGTTGTTCAATGAACTAAAGCAAAGTACAGAAATTACCTACTCCATGATTCACCCTAAACTCCATATTTGGCCTTTTGTGGTTTGGGGCAAAAATATTAACCAGCCAACCTATTTTCCAATCTGCAAAATGGAGGTAATAATATGTGTCAGTTCTTAGCTTGAAAATTAACTACTCATTTATTTTAAAACAGTTCATAAATATGAAGTATTATAGTGATTTTATACCTTATAAAGTAACAAAATTCAAAGTGAATTTCTAAATTGAACATCTCTTAGAAAATACTCTGATGTTAAAATATACTAACATACATCATCTGCCATGTTAAAATCCTGGAATTAGGAGTTTTCCCAGCTGGACTGAGCTAATGTTGTAAGATTAAGTAAGCCAATCTAATATTAAAAATTGTCTCTAATCAAAGATTAAGATCAGTAGTTACCATATTTTTCACATGGTGTGGCGCTGTAGGATAAGCACTGGACCTTGAACCACATTACAGTTCAAACCCATCAGCTGCTCCTCAGAAACCCTATACAGGGTCGCTATGAGTCGGAATAGATTCGATGGCACTAAACAACAACATTATACCCATAGGAAACAAATGCGAAGGGTTGCACAGTTTTAAAACAATATAACACCCACATTATTTGAATAAAAATGCAGTATTCAGCTTTCAGTTTTCTTCAAGGATTTTTTTCCAGTTTCTAACATGGCAAGTTCCTCACAATGATTGTCAGTTCTATCACTGTTTTTCTCTGAGTTCCTTAAAGTCTGTGTTGTCTAGCTTCTTACAGAATGCACGAAACAACTTGGTCTATCCAGAGCAGCCTCCAAAGTGTATACCAAAGATGGAACCACAATTCTTACTCTGTGTGATTTAGTTTTATGGGCTCTAGATGAGTCCTTTGTCCTGAGAGACTCTGAACATCGAAAGAAACATGATGCCCCTGTTGGAACAGAAGAGGCAACTGTTAAAAGTATGGAAGCTTGGTTACATTCTATAGGACTTAGCTGGTTCTGTTTATATGTAATCATACAAAAATTAAATGCAACTCTTTCATTCATTCATCCATTCCAGAAATTCAAACTCATGTGAAGCTAAATGACTCCCAGAGTATTAATGAGATTCTCATGTTATTTTTACCTTGCAGAATAAGAAAATAATAGTAATCAACTTTCAATCAGTATTAGTCCTTTCAGCACTGAAAGAATGAATTTCATGGAACTATAAAGTATTTGTACCAGTTTAGCTACTTAATGAGCTGCTTTTGTCCTTAAACTCAGAACCAAACCGATTTAAGACAGTGGAACTGGATCAACACAGTTTTGTGTTTTTTTTCCTGCCATTAAAAGAGAAGGTATCCTCTCTAAACCTCCTGATCTCCAACCCCCTTTGCCCATCCCCACGACTCCTGTAAACCCTCAGAAGTCCCACTGCCTGGCCTGCAATTGCAGTGCTGGCCACATTGTATTATAATGATCTATTTGCATCTCTTTGTGCCTCATTGGGCTTTGTACACTTGAGGGCGGGGCTGTATCCTGAACACTTTGTTAACTGAAAGCCAGCGATTCAGTAGTATTGCCTGGTGCGAGGCTTTCACACTGTTATTATATTGAGAAGTATGGTGTTGAGGTTAAGGAATAGGGTTTTAGAGCTAGATGGCAGCCCCATGTGTATCAGAGTAGAACAGTGGTTGTTGTTGTTGTTGTTGTTAAGTGCCATCGTGTTATTTCCGATCCATAGCAATCCTGTATAGGGTTTCCGAGGAGTGACTGGTGAGCTTGAACTGCCAATCTTGCAGTTCCAATGGCTTTGCAGTCTGGCACCTTAACCCACAGCATCACACCAGTATTCAAATCCTAGCTTGGTTGCTTGTTACTTGAATGACTTTGGGCAAAGTTGCTTAACCTTTCTGTACCTCAGTTTCTCATCTACACAATGGGGTCACTAGCAGTCTAATTTAAGAGGCAGGCATGGCTCAGTGGTAGAGTTTTCTTCTTCCATGAAGGGGACCATGGTTTATAGGAGCAACCACTGACTGTTTGTCAGTGCAGGCTTGTGTGGTGCCTTAACGATGGACAGTCTTCAGTAGAGCTTCCACACTATGGCAAGGTACTTCCAAAAATCAGCCCATGAAAACCCTATGGAGTACAATGGCCTGGTCCCCAGCCAATTGAGCATGGAGACCATGCAGCATTTTGTTTCATTGTCCATGCAGGCCC